GTGGGTGGGCGGGAGGGCGGGTACCAGCTGGCGTAGAAGTTGCCCAGGGAGAAGGCCACGTAGCAGCACATGGAGCCAACAATGGTCCACTTGCAGCCACATCTCTTGATGAGGATGGGTGGAAGGAACATGGAGGACAGGAGGACAGCGCCGTAGAGCGTGCCGAGCGTCGCCACCCCCATGCCGTCCTCGCTGTAGAGGCTGCTCTGTGGGAACAAGACCGGCCTGTCAAGGAGGGGGAGGAGTAGGCAGGGGAGTGGTGTGGGTGCCAGGACCTGTGGGCTCAAGGCACCTCAGGTCCCCAACCCCAGCAACAGGCCCTCTGTGCTAAGGACACGGCAGGTAGGTGGCGTAAGGCCAGCAGCCTCTCAACAGCAGGACGGGCACCCTGCTCCCTGAAAGTGTGGGGATGGGGACACCCGCCAGCCTCAGCGCTTGGGAGGAGGACCAAGGGAAGCTGCTGGAAGGCCTCCCTGTGCCTGGAAGCAGAGGGCCCTTCTCCCGACCCCCCTGCAGCGCTGGAACAGTACTGAACTCTGGTTCAATGCTGGGCATGCAGTAGGTGGCTACTTCTTGACCTGGCTGACAAACCATGGGAGACTGTGGTCATCACCAGAAGTTCCAAAACGGTGTCATTGTATGACAGCCCTGGCCACAAGGTTCAACACTGAGCAAGCTGCTCTCGGGGACAGCGATGGCCTGCCTCCTGCCAGTCCTTGGAACTCTCTGAAGGTCTATTGCCAGTGAAAGATCAGACTTGAAGTCATGTCGACTCCACCCCAGGTCCACGGCACCAGCACCAGAGCCTTCTGGAAACCACTGGGTTCTGTATGACTCGGACTCAGGAGCAAGCGGTCCATCAGTGGCTCAGAAGGAAGACGGTTCTGCCCAGGGTCACACTTTTGCTTAAAGTCAGCATGGAGTCCATGAGGTCTAGCCAGGTTTGATAGATGGTTATTTCTGCACAGATCACAAAGCCAGGGGCATGGAGCCATGGAATTCAGGATTTCTCTTGTGTCTTCTTTTGACCACCAAAGGCAAATCGTCCTCTCAAACCCTCTCTTGAGACACTGGCTCTGCTTGTCCAAGGGTCAAACAGTGTACAGCCCGTGGAAATGTAAGTAGGACTGACGCTGTCAGGTTTTGTATTAAAACACAGTCTGTTCTGGAGAATTCAGAGGCACAGGGCAGAGAGTCTAGGGTGCACCAACAAAAGAAATGGCCTTGCACTACTTGTTGCCTGTGGCTCTGGAGGCAGGACAAGCTTAGAGGTCAACAAGGTCATGCTCCAAGGCCCACACCTACCTGCAGGTTCTGCAGACCTCCGTAGGCTGTGAAGAGGAGGAGGAATCCAAAGGAGACCACGAGGACGTTCCTCAGGCTTCTCTCCATGGTGCTGGCGCAGGGTCCACTGGCAGTGGGCACATAGAGGTGGAGCTCCCTGCAAGAACCAGGGTGCCGTCCTCCCTCTGAGTCACAGCGTGCTAGCCGTCAAGGCTGCTACTAGTTAATGAACTTGGTCACACTGGGCCCCGAGCACCAGAGAGTTACTCATTTACCTTCCTGCATCTCACCCGACCCCTTCCTCTGAGGCAGTGTGGGTGGCTCTTCTCAGCGGCACATGATGGCACTTTCACACTACTTTGGACAGGTGTGATCTTAGGGCAAAGTGATACACTTCCTATTTTACATGTGCATGTGACCTACCTTCTGCCTGGAGAGATTTGTCAACAGTGCTGAATGTGGATGGTTCTTCTGTCCTAAAAAGCAAAGCATAAATGTCAACCCCAAGGCACCGAGTTCAACTTCTGAAAAGGAGCTAACATGAGGACACCCCAGGCCCATCCTTGGCATTGCAAAGATCCGATGATCTTACACTGTTGAAGCCATTTAAGAAGATTCCATGAGTAGGGCTCTTTACAACATGCAGAGCACCCCAGTGGGCCCGTTTCATGTCACCCACACAGCACTGTTCTAACTGTCATAAGAAATCCAAGACCTGTTACACTCACAGCACTGTTCTAACTGTCATAAGAAATCCAAGACCTGTTACACACAGGACCAGCTTCAGCCAAGGGGCTGGACATGTGCCTTCTCGAGCAGTGCCGGTCGGGTCAACAGTCACTGGCACATGCAACGACTGAGCTCCTGACCTGCAGCAGGTGGAGCTGTGACACTGATAGCTGCGTTTTATTTAGTTAGTTAAAATTCAAACAGCAGTTACTGATTTGGATAGGGCAAGTCTGCCCCAAACCTCAGAGCCGAAGCTAGAAAAATCCCTTTGCTACTCGTTTGTTAGTAAAGCTTGATGCTTGCAGACTGTTCCCAAAGCTCTGTGACCCTGGTCACCTCTGCCTAGTGTGGATCTATGAAGTGAGCCTTCCAGCGTGGGTCAGGGACATGAGGTGGCAACTGTTGAGGGAAGCCACCATCTGAAAACTATGACCCTCAGTCAAGGGGATGAGGTGCTTGAAGCTTAGTCTGATGACAATGAAAGTTTGATGAAAATAATAAATATGTGGAGCACATGTGGATACCGCTGCTCACGCAGAACTGAGAGCAGCATGGTGCACAAGGGCCTGACCGTGGAAAAGGGCTCACACCCGTTCCCCGTGGTGGGCATTCTCGGGTGGGCCATGGTCCTCTCTGCACCTCGACTTCCCTTGAAAAGGGAGGCTGCAGCAATTCAAAAGGCCAACCTTTCGGAAAGTCCCCGCAACAGCTGGGCGCCGTGGCACACCTGCAATCCCAGCGGCTCGGGAAGCTGAGGTAGGAGGATCGCCAGGTCAAAGCCAGACTCAGCAACTTAGCGAGGCCCTGAGCCATTAGTGAGAACTTGACTCAAAGAGAAAAACATTAAAAAGAGCTGGGAGTGGCTCAGTGGTCAGGCACCTTAGGTTCAGGCCCTAGTTCTGGAGAAAGTAACAATATTCAGCATAACATGGACTTTCCACCTCAGCCTTGTAATCAGTTAATGAACTTTGCCCTTCTTTTCAACTCTGCAACCCACCTCAGTGGCTTCGACTCTGGCCTGTGTACCTTATGCACAGGGCACTTGTCCTTGGTACTGGACAACTTCTGACCTTGTCTTCTGCTACCTCTACTCTCTGGCCTGGCTGCTTAGGTTGACCCGCACCATCTTCTGGACGCTCCACCAGCCCTGGGAGCATCTTCAGCAGCTGCTTCCCAGCTCCCCACGGAGGACCTGGGCCTCCTGACGCGTTTTGCTCCATGCAGAATCCCCTTGGCCGCCTGTTTCCGTCTTTGCAAGCCTCCCCCTCCCTGCCCTGTCCCCTAGCTGGGAACTCACTTCCGACATCATGACTTTGATCACGTCAGCCTCTTCACCACCCCACCCCCAGGCCCTGCTTTATGGAGGTTTGGAGGGACTTTTAAAATTACTTTTTACTTATATGTAACAGCAGAGTGCATTGCAATTCTTATTACACATATAGAGCACAATTTTCATATCTCTGATTGTATACAAAGTATATTCACACCAATTCGTGTCTTTACACATGTACTTTGGATAATAATGTCCACCTCATTCCACCATCACTTCTAACCCTATGCTCCCACCCTTCCCCTCCCACCCCTCTGCCCTATCTATAGTTTATCTATTCCTCCCATGCTCCCTCTCCCTACTTCACTATTAATCAGCCTCCTTATATCAGAGAAAGCATTCGGCATTTGGTTTTGGGGGATTGGCTAACTCCATTTAGCACTATCTTCTCTAACTCCATCCATTTACCTGCAAATGCCATGATTTTATTCTCTTTTATTGATGAGTAATATTCCATTGTGTATATATTTCACTTTTCATCCATTCATCTACTGAAGGGCATCCAGGTTGGCTCCACAGTTTAGCTATTGTGAATTGAGCTGCTATAAACATTGATGTGGCTGTGTCCCTGTAGTGTGCTGTTTTTAAGTCCTTTGGATGTAGACTGAGGAGAGGGATAGCTGGGTCAAATGGTGGTTCCAATCCCAGTTTTCCAAGGAATCTCCTCCATACTGCTTCCCATATTGGCTGCACCAATCTGCAGTCCCACCAGCAGTGTATGAGTGTGCCTTTTCCCCACATCCTCGCCAAGAATTGTTGTTTGTCTTCATAATAGCTTCCATTCTGACTGGAGATGGTATCTTAGAGTGGTTTTGATTTGCATTTTTAATTTTTAATATTTATTTTTTAGTTCTTGGCGGACACAACATCTTTGTTGGTATTGCGGTGCTGAGGATCGAACCCTGACCGCATGCATGCCAGGTGAGTGCGCTACTGCTTGAGCCACACCCCCAGCCCCTGATTTGCATTTCTCTAATTGCTAGAGATGTTGAACGTTTTTTTCACATATTTATTGCTTGATTGTATATCATCTTCTAAGAAGTGTCTGTTCAGGTCCTTGGCCCATTTATTGATTGGGTTATTTTTTTTTTTTTGACGTTTAGCTTTATATACCCTAGAGTTTAGTGGTCTATCTGATGTGTGAGGGGTAAAGATTTTTCTCCCAAGATGTAGGCTCTGTATTCACCTCACAGACAGTTTCTTTTGCTGAGAAGAAACTTTTTTTTAGTTTGAGTCCATCCCATTTATTGATTCTTGATTTCAATTCTTGTGCCAAAGGAGTCGTATTAAGGAAGTTGGGGCCTAATGCCACATGATTACTACTTTTTCTTCTATTAGACAAAGAGTCTCTGGTTTTATTCCTAGGTCCCTGATCCATTTTGAGTTGAGTTCTGTGCATGGTGAGAGATAGGGGTTTAATTTCGTTTTGTTGCGTATGGATTTCCACTGTTCCCAGCACCATCTGTTGAAGAGGCAGTGTTTTTGGTTTGGGGGGATTTTAAGAGTGCGCAGTGTCTTTTCCTTCTGGAAGGCTCCTTACCACAGAGGCCTCCAGCACCCCAGATCACCGAGGCAGGTTTAGATGTGGTCACTGGCTTCCTCGTGTCTTCCCAGACCCTGACAACGGCCCTCATCTACAGAAGCAGCCCCACAGACATGTGCTTGAACAGGGAAGGGCACGGCAGACCTGGGCACCCAGAAGCTGTCTTGGCTTTCATGCCACTCCAGCATATGGGCAGAGAGTGCCCAGGAGCTGGGAACCTGCACCAGGGCTACCCTACACAAGACCGAAGAGATTGACACAGATGACCCAAGGTGCCCACATCATCTCACTCCTGGAAATTGGCCTCCAGGGGAAGTCCCAGTACCCGGGATGGAACAGAAAGGACCCCCGAGGCCTTGAATGTTGGATAACAGAGGCAAAGGACAGGCAGCTCATCCCAAAGAAAGGAAATGGGTTGCTAACCGCTAACCTCAGGATCCACCACCCCCCAACAGCTGCTGACCCTCTGGAGATCCAGCCGCACTTCCCAGCACAAGGAGTGGCCAATGAGTCCCCCGGCTCTTCTTCCCCTGTCTTGGGCACACAGGCAGACAGAAAGAGGAGGGCGGGGACAGGAAGTCTGGGATCCACAAAGGGGCAAGACACACTCCTCTCGGGGGCCACCAGCTGGGCCCTCACTTCTCTCCTGCTCTCTATCTCTGGTTTGTCTGTTTCCTAAATAAAACTGGCTTTCCCTGCCTGCCTCTGTGACTCTCGGGGGTCTATCTTCAGCACAGGGGGGAATGAGGACCCACCCCAGTTTCCAAGACTGGTACCAACTTCACCGCTAGGTGCCACTGTTTGCCACCACTGGTAGCCCATGCTCCCAGGCGTCCAGTGGCAGAGATCTCTGCTTAACTCAGCAGGCTTCCTGCCAAGAAGCTGGGGAGAGCCCCGAATTTCAGGGAAGCGCCGTGAGTGGCCAGCTCTGCCCAGGAGAGCGCACAGAAGCCCATCAGCCTCAGTGTTCCTGACATGTACCTCTGAAGTCTGAACGTGGCTCCCAGGAAGTCCACGAGTCCCCTCGCCTCGTCCGACTCTGACCTGCAGAGGATGGCAGGCTCAGGGAGGGGCGATGGCTGTGCCTGAGCAGCTGTCGCACTGGGAGAGGGCTGCACTCAGGGACGGGCAGCCTTGGGGAGGAGCCACTGGTACCAGCACAGCCATGGTGAGCAGAAAGGTTTTCTCTTAGCTGTTATTCCAAGGCTCCCATGATCCCGGGACAGGCCGATGCCAGACTGGACCCACGTGAGCATGTGTGGCCGTGACGGCTGGCACCCGGCTGGACAGATACCTCCTGAGGGGCGGAGGGTTCACGGGCCAGCGTTTGTCCTCAGTGAGGCAGAGCCTCCAACTGGGCAAGGGGTTTGGGACAAGAAGGCTGTGTTGGCCTCTGAAGCCCCTAACTCCACATCCTGCAGAGGGCAGGGACCGCTCAGGACAAGAGCAGAAGCTGCTGACCCTGTCCACTCTTAGGGGCAGCTCCCGGCCCACAACCCCAGAGCTCTCTTGTCCTGGGATTCTGGGGCTCCCTTTCTCTGAGGGGACATTTGAGTCCCCCCTAACCACCAGCCAGGCTGCCCAGCCCCCGGCACAGCATCCCACCTGCTGAGGCACCCTTTGGGTTCCAGAGTGGGGAGGGTCTGCACCCTGCCCTCCTCTCTCCCAGCGCAGCAGCCACAGTTCAGCAAACCTTAACTGCTTCACTCTCACTCCAGGAGTGACGGAGGGCCCGGATTGGGACACACACACACATGCGCACACACACACACACACACACACACAC